GGAAGTAGTTCTAGTCCAACTCCATTACTTACTAGTTGTGTGACCTCCACCAATTAATGTGACTTCTCCAGGTTTTAGTTTTTCTCTTCTGTAAAATGAGTACGGTAATAGTATCAACCTCACAGTATGAAACCAGATTTTCTATACACAATCATTTTGCAGGATACTGGCACATGGCAACTCACTGCCATTGAGTTGATTCTGACTTATAGTGACCCCCACTGGGTTTCCAAGAGTGTAAATCTTTACAGAAACAGACTCCCTCGTCTATATTCCATGGAGAGGCTTGTGGATTTGAACCACCAACCTTTTGGTTAGCAGCCACACCACCAGAGCTCCTTGTGGCAACGGCTTGGTAAATGTTGGCTCATTTCCATTACCACTTTTATATCTTTTATATTATTCACTGCTCTTTCAGAGGAAACCAGGGTTTAGAAACACGCTCTAGATCACTGCTTATAAGTGGTAGAACATCTCTACCTGTTGCCTTGCACATTATGGATGATGTTAGAGATGAGACTGGGGGGTAAGGCAAGGCTAGATCTCAAGGAGTCTTCATGGGCCCTGCTCAGGATGTTGAATTTTATTATAAAGGCCATTAAGAGTCTCTGTAAGACATTAAGAGTGGCAAGATCAAATCTGCATTTTAGAAAGATTATTCTCAAAACAATGTGAAGGGAGGTTTAGAGATGGGAATGATGAAGCAGAAAGCCCTGGGTGGCACAAATGGTTAAGCACTTGGTTAATAACCAACATCTCTCAGAGGCATCTAGGAAGATAAGCCTGGCAATCTACTTTTAAAAGGTCCTAGCCTTAAAAACTCTATGGAGCTGTTACACTCTGCACACGTAGGTCTCTGTAAGTCAGAACTGACTCTACCACCATGACAGGTAAAGACAGGGGTACTGGAGAAGAAGGGAAGGAGAGGGAGAAAGTGGATGGATTCAAGCTACTCCAGGGTATTAGCTTTATTTACTGGGCAGATGGTGGTGCCATGGGTATTTGAGCATGATAATCTTGGGGTGCTTGTGAAACATCCAGGGGGAAATTTCCCCATGGCAGTTGGACATACAGATGTAAAGATCAAGAGAGGAGTCTGAGCTGGCGATTTTAAGTTTGGAGCTAAAGATATGGGTGTGAATGAGATCATTGGGTTGGTTCATCCACAAGTGTTTATTGAGCACCACCGTGGATCAGAGGCTCTTCTCCCCGCAGAGATAGAAAGATGGACAAGATGCCTAGAGCCATACTTTCAGGGGGTTACACCCAAGTGGGGTGACATTAAACGAATGTTAATATATATATATTCTGGTTACCTAGTGCCACTCGACAGGAATATACCACAAATGGGATGGCTTTAACAAATAAGAGTTTATTCTTACAATTTGGAGGCTTTATTTCTGAGTTCAAAGTGCCAGGTTCTGGGGACTGGGTGAAAGCCCCTCGGCCTTGGGCTTCAGCTCTGCCTCCTGCTCCTGGCCCAGTGAAGCTAGAGGCTTTTCTCCTCACAGACAGCTGTTGGCTGCTGAGGCTGACAAGCCCAAGGTGGACAAATTAAAAGGCACAGTCCCAATGTTACCAAACCACATGGCAGGCCATTAATTCAAGTCCATTGAAAATCCCAGGATCAGCAGAGCATGGCAGGCTGCTGAACAACAACTCAGCTACATGCAGGGTTCAAGTATGCCATAAGCTAGAGACTATTCTCAAAGCTGCTTTTATATACAGGAAGCAGACCACATACCCAAAGCAGCTACTCAGCTGCTCCAATAGATTCCACCATGGAGTTAATTACCAATCTCACCCTGGGTAATAACTACATTCAGCTGCCCAGCCTCTCAACCAGGCCTAGCCAAGTTGACACACCACCTTAACTACCACAATTCCAACCCTTGTCACTTTGGCATCTGTATAGATTTTCACTGGGTGACTCCAGTCCCCTAGTTCCTGAGTGGCAACCTCACCCCCTTGGCCTGGCATGCCCCAATCTTCTCCCTCTTGGGCATGGCAGCTCTGCCCCCTCACTCTTGGGCAGCTGCTATGACTCCATCCCACTGGCTCACATGAACAAGCAGCCCCACACTCCAGAACCAACTTGGTAAAGGTCTGGCTCTTTGAAACCTAAGGGGCTATGGTGGTTCCACCCCCAAAGGCCATGATCCTACCCTTGAGGCTGAGGCAGCTCTGCTTCCCATTTCCTTGGTTTCTCTGCTTCTGCCAATTAATGCCTGAGGCCAACCCACTCCACCAGGAAACTTCCTGCCCAAAGGACACTCAGCTTTCTTGCTCTGTGGGCTGGCCAACCTGCTATTCCATCTCATGGTGGTCTCTTCTACCAATTAATGCCCAAAGGCAACCCACTCCGCCAGGAAACCACCTACCCAATGGCACCTGCCTTTCTCCTCCATGGGCTGGTAAGCCTGTTGCTGTTTAATGCTGGTCTCTGGGCTCTGCTATTACTGTCTCTCATGCTGGTCTATCTGCCAGTATCTCTCTGCCAGTCTCTCAGCTCTGCTCCTGCCATCTCTCATGCCACATGCTGGGGTCTCTCCGCTGGGGTCTCGGATCAGGGATGCACTCCACTCCTGTTTCCACATTTTAGGTATCTGTTAGAGCAGCACCTTACTCTCTCAGTTCCATCTTCTGTTCTGGTTACCTAGTGCTGCTCTGACAAGAATATACCACAAATGGAATGACTTTAACAAACAGGAGTTTATTCTTACAATTTGGAGGCTTTAAGTCTGAGTTCAAAGTACCAGATTCTAGGGACTGGGTGAAAGCCCCTCAGCCTTGGGCTTTAGCTCTGCCTCCTGCTCCCGGCCCAGTGAAGCTAGAGGCTTTTCTCCATGCAGACAGCTGTTGGCTGCTGAGGCTGACAAGCCCAAGGTGGACAAATAAAAAGGCACAGTCCCAATGTTACCAAACCACATGGCAGGCCATTAATTCAAGTCCATTGAAAGTCCCAGAATCGGCAGAGTATGGCAGGCTGCTGAACAACTGAGCTACATTCAGGGTTCAAGCATGCCATAAGCTAGAGACTGTTCTCAAAGCTGTTTTTATATACAGGAAGCAGACCACATACCCAAAGCAGCTACTCAGCTGCTCCAATCAATTCCACCATGGAGCTAAATATCAATCTCACCTTGGGGAATAACTACATTCAGCTGCCCAGCCTCTCAACCAGGCCCAGCCAAGTTGACACACAAACTTAACCACAGCAATATAAATGAAAAATAAAACTTTAGCTATTGCCAAATGCTAAAAGATAATGTTGCTGGTGAATTGCAAAATGGATGGCAAGTGAAATAATGTTTCTATAGAAACATTCACTGGAGGGAAAAAAAAGTAAAAACCTTTATAGTTAAGCAATCTAATTATGATAATATGATGAGGGGGACTTATTTCAGCATAAGAAGAAGCCATGGTATTCTAAGAAAGAAAATAAAAAGATAATTTTTCAAGGTTGGGAGAAGCTTTAAGAATAGATGAGTATTTAAGAGGGAAGTTGATTAGATAAAAGGAAGATGTAAAAATGGGTAGTCAGAGATGGGGTAACAGGCAAATTCAGAGATCCTAAATTTAATAGGGGATACAAATAATATGGGGATTTAAAGACATTACTACACTTTCTCTATAGAAAAATACACAACAATAATTTGTGCCACAGATACTCAGTGAGTGCCCGTGTGCTAGGTGACGGGGATACAGCACTGAGCAGGACAGAAGGCATGGTAGCTCAGGGAGCAGGCAGTCTATAGGGAAGACAGACATAAACAAATGACCTCACCAACATGCCTTGTAGAATGTGGAAAGTTCTGGAAGGAAGAAGATGGAGGCTATAAGAGAATACATAGGGGCCCTAATTTAGATGGAGAAGTAACCCAGCAACACAATCAGACCTGTTTCCTGGGGACCTATGAATTTAAACATCAGGTATGGTGTTTAGAAAGGTTGAGATTCTTTAGTTAAAGTACTAAGTTTGCAAAACTGCCTTGCAGTGAGAACAGGTACATAGGTGGCTAGAGGAGATGGATTTACTCCAGATAGACAATGGAGAAAGGGATGGAAGGGTCACATGTTCTTTTCACCTTCAACTTCTTCCTCGGATATGAAACTGCTGGGGGTGAAACAAAGGGCAACCCTGGTCTTACTGAAGAAGAAACCAGTACCATGTTGTAAATATAGAAATGCTATTTCTTGCCTAGTTTTGGGGATTTTTATTTTCCCAGCAGAATGAGAATATCACTACAAAAAACTGTGAGAACTTAGATCCAAACTCACTGGCATTGAGTTGGATCCAACTCATAGTGACCCCTCTTTGGGCTTCTCAGGCAGTATCACTACAGAAGTAGATTGCCCAGTCTTCCTTCCAAGGAGTGGCTGGTGGGTTTGAACAGCCAGCCTTCTAGTTAGCAGTGAAATGCCTTAGGTACAAATGCCACCACAGCTCCTAGAAGAATCATGACTGAGGAGATGCAATGAAGAAGAGAGACCTCTTGTTTTTGTTAGTGACATATTTTGTGTTTTCCTTTGCTAAAATTCTATTGGTTTTAATAGTTCTCCCTGACAGATGGCAGTTAGCATGATGTGTGTTTATGAGAAAAAACTGGACAAAAGTTGGACATAGCCTGGTCAGTGCAAACCCTTGAACCTGCCCCAGACTGATGAAAAGAGAACATCTAGGGATGGCAGGACAGTGGATGTCTAACCAGCTCCCCAGGGGATGGTCAAGCACATTGAGGTCACCACCAGAGTAGATGGTGTGTGGACTAGGGTGGGATTATCAGACCTGGCTGATGATCCGAATGTTCCTGGGCCCCACCTCAGGCCCACTGAATAAATATCTGGGAATGAGGCGAGGTGGACACAGGCCATGGAATCTCTGCTCCATAGAACCTCACCAAGTTTGGGAGCCACTGGGATGATGTAATATTGTTTAAAATATTCCCTTATTAGAAATTCCAAAATACCTCATTCTTTTTCTTTTTTCTTTCTACTAGGCCCTGGGAAATCATGAATTTGATAATGGTGTAGAAGGACTGATGGATCCACTTCTCAAAGAAGCCCAATTTCCAATTCTGAGTGCTAACATTAAGGCAAAAGAGCCTCTAGCCTCTCAAATAGCTGGACTCTATTTGCCATATAAAATTCTTAATGTTGGTAGTGAAGTTGTGGGAATTGTTGGATACACTTCAAGCGAGACCCCTTTTCTCTCAAATCCAGGTATTTTCTCCCTATAAAAGCACTATAAAATTCTCTTTCTTTGAAAATAGACACACTAAATCAGAGCTTGGTGTTATTTTTATGGACTGAAGGTAAAAGAAGGAATAATGTGTGGTACTGGGCAAAGGATATACTTATTATGACATTGACAAAGTCAGTCTAGTGGGTTCCACATAGTTTTTCTTGTTTTGTTTTGTTTTTAAATTTTTATTGTGATTTGGGTGAAAGTTTGCAGAGCAAATTCATTTTCCATACAGCAGTTCATACACATTTTGTTTCATGACATTGACTGCAATCCCCACAATGTGATAGCTCTCTTCCCACTTTCTCCTTGTATTTACCTCTTCCCTGACTTCTTTCCTATGCATCCCTGCCCCCTGAGCTATCTCCCTGTGCAAATACTGCTCTTCTGTTTTCCCATGATTGATTGTTCTAAGGAGTGTATCTACTTGGTGTAAATATTCACTCCATATGCCAGTTTACTGTTTGGCTAGAAGCTACAGGAGTGAGTTCAATTCCAGGCCTGAAGGGTAACTAGGGGCCATAGGCTCAGGGGTTTCACCAGGCTCTGTCAGACCATTAAGTGTGGTCTTTTTTATGATTTTGAGTTTTATTCCACATTGTTCTCCCACTCTATCCAGGATCTCCTGCACTGATCCCTTTCTGAGTGATTGACAGTGGTAGCTGGGCACCATCTAGTTCTTCTGGTCTCAGGGTATATAAGCTGAGATTCACACGGTCCACTAGTTCCTTGGACTACTTGTTTCCATGAGTCTTTGGTTTTCTACATTCTTCTTTGTTCTGGATGAGGAGAGATCAATTGTTGCATCTAGATGGACACTTGCAAGATTTTAACACCCCAGTCACTAATCACCAAGTAGGATGTAGAACAATGTTTTTGTGTAATATGTTATGCCAATTGAGCTTGATGTCCCCTGCAACCATGGTCCCGAGCCCACAGGTCCAACAACTCACTCCATCATGATGGTTGACTGTGCCCAAGAAAATTACCATAACTTTGCCCCTGTTAGTTCTATTTATTTGGACATTAAGGCACACACAGATATGTATATAGAAATACCGCCTGCCAACTTTATATATGGTTATGTGTATATTCCCTTTTGCCTAAACATACCTGATCATTCAGCCTGTCTACCCATTCCACATAATTTTAAGTTTCTTCTTATAGACCTTTGATACTCAGTGAGTATCTTTGTTTACATAAATAGTATCTTCCAAAAAAAAGAAATTACTGTGTCTTGTATCCTAAATAAGAATTAAAGCAATTCATACCCAATGCTAAGCAGCACTGGAGAATGAAAGTCAAATAATGCTCTGGCTCTCTTCCTGTGGAGCCAGAAACCCAGGGCTAAGATCTTACCTCACTTACAGTAGCTTTCCTTAGCTCTCATTTTCTAGTATAATCATTACATGCTCTGGTTAATAGTTCTTTTTCCTTTTCATTATTTATCTCTTGTAGTTTTAATGACCTTTTTGTATCTTAAATATTTCTAGAAAATATGTATACATTCTTAAATGGTTTTAAGATGCATATGTCATTTTATATAGAGACATACATGTGTGTATGTGTCTCTATGTGTGTACTGCACACAGTTAAGAGCTAAGGTTCTTATCAAAAAGTTGGCAGTTCAAACCCACCAGCCACTCCTTGGGGGAAAAGACCTAGCAATATACTCCTGTAAAGATTACAGCTTTGAAGATTTTGGGTGGGAGGCAGTTCTACTCTGTCACATTAGGTAGCTATGAGGCAGAACCAAGTTGAATGTATCCAAAAACTATACATATATGGAGCTCTGGTGGGTAAAACTTTAGCTGCTAACCTGAAGTTTGGCAGTTCAAACCCACCAGCCACTCCACAAGAGATAGATGAGGCAGTCTATTTCTGTAAAGATTTGCAGTCTTGGAAACCCTATAGGGTAGCCCTGTTGTGTCCTATAGGGCCTCTTTGAGGGCAGTGAGTATATATATTCACTCATTTGCATAGCCATTCAAGAAGTATATTTGAACTTTTATTGAAATACTTTTACTTAAACCCTTGGCAGTGAGAACAAAAATGAGGTTTCTCTAAATTATGCAAAGTAATTTTTCTTTCCATATTTTAAGAAAAAAGGGAAGATAGGAGCTAGCATTATCCAGAAACAAAAGTTTTCATTAAGAATTAACTGATAGAGGATCTATGATTATTTAACAATTAGAAAATTAATATATATATTTAATATTATTCTTAAAATAGGTCTAAGTCATTAGAAGCAACAACAGAAAAGGCCATCTATTGAAAAAAGAGGCAGGGATGGAGGCGGGTTGGGAGTGGAGCCTTACAGCTCTCCACTGTATGGGCAGGGGACTGTCAGCGCTTGAGGTGGCAAGTAGAAACCTGCCTCACTGGTGACCAAGCCTTTGTAAATGGTGACACAATTGTCACTAGCTTTTGTTATCATAGTAATTACAGGGGCAGAGTGTGGTTACAGGAACCCAAGATTCATTGGCTTTTAAAATGTTTTAGAAATACTTATCTGATTAAAAGGGATTATGGTCACACTAGAAGGACCCAACTTGAAAGTCTGATGCTGGCCTTCTTCAGCCTGCCCAGCCTGACCATGGTCCTTCTCCCTCCCTTCACAGATGGTAGGGCTTTGGACAATCAGATATTCCCAGAGGCTGATGGGATACTTCCTCCTTGGGCTTCCTGAGGCTTATCTGCAAAGTATGGAAACAGGCTGCCTGACATGCTGACAAATTGCTGAAGTGGAAAGTGCTAGAGAGAGTATCACTGCCCAGTCTCTGCTACCCATGCCACCTGCTCCCCCAGTGGGTTAGACACCCCTGTGTTGGGATCACCAACACCCTCAACTCACACCTGTCCCTGAGCATGGACACACTGGTGTGTCACATGGGTCCCTTACTCTCTGCTTCCCACACTGGCCTGAGCAACCTGAGGTCAGAGCCTAGGTCTCCCCTCACTGAACATCTGGAACCTAATATAGAGGCCACCTTATGATCTTTAGGAGCTCTAGTGGCATGGTGCCTAAGGCATTGACTGCTAACCAAAAGGCTGGCAGTTGAAACCCACCAGCCACTCCTCGGAAGGAAGGTTGGGCAATCTACTTCCTTAGTGACACTGCCTCAGAAACCCCAGGACGAGTCACTATGAGCAGGTTCAACTCTACGGCACTGTGTGTGTTATGATCTTTGGATAAAGATGTGGGTTTGTTGAAACGCTGAATAAATGCTTATTAGATAGTAAATTCAAAAGCAAACTTTGTCTCTATAATTTATATTTTACTTGCTGTTTTTTTTCAGTTCATTTAAGATCAAATGTGCTGTAAGAGAGTCATAAAGTCAGGGATTTGGGGAGGGATTTTCAGAGAATGTATGGAGTTGGGTGAGAGGAATAATGGTTAGTCTAGAAATCAGGTAGACTTGGTGAAGAACCTCCTTGGTCCCATCAAAGAGTGTGTAGAGCATCTTGGGGCAAAGGAAAATCCAGAAGTGAGCCCCCAGAATCATAGACTAGAAAGTAAGTTCAATGAGGGTGGGGACCTTGCTTATCTCATTCACTGATCCATCAGCTGTGCACAGAACCAAGCACATTCTAGTGGAATGAATATATGAGAGCAGGAAAGTGTGGGGGCCACACACAGGTTATGAGTAGGGAAAGCAAGAGAGTTGGGTTGGGACTTGAGTGTAAGGCCTCCTGAATGCGTGGCTGAAGAGTTCAGGCATGACTAGCAGAAAAGCATCATCCCTCGTTAACAGTTACCAATAAAAAGCTAGTCCTTATGAGACTCACCTGAGGTTGTGCCAGAGGGGGGGATCTACAGAGATGATGCTCTTCCCAGCAGCTCCCAGGAATCATGGACTGTACTGTGCAGTGACTAATGTAGGGATGGATTGGGTTCAGGTGGGACAGAATGTTTCTGGGGATTCTTACCTCTTCTAAGACCAAGGCTCAGCAGCCTAACATGGGTTCTTTCTACAGATTTTTGGCCCCAATCCAGTCCTATTCTTCCTGTTCTGGTGGCCTGGGCTCCCACAGCTATCACTTGTATTTCTTGCACTTCTGATTTATTTTAGCTAGGTAATAAAATTTCTGGAACATACCTGCCCTTATGACATCCTGAAATTCATCCCAGGGCTTTCTATATATGTGATACCTGATCCTGTGAGGTTTTTGATGTGTTGGAACAATGCATTCCTTTGTCCTCGGTCAGAGACATTTCTATGAACCTTTCGATTCCTTCTTGTTTTGGTTACTTAATGTTGCTCTAATAGAAAATACCACAAATGGGAGGCTTCAACAAATAGGGACTTATTCCCTCACAGTTTAAGAGGCTAGAAATCTGAGTTCAAAGTGCCAGCTCTAGGGGCTGGGTAAAAGCCCCTCAACCTTGGGCTTCAGCTCTGCCTCTTGCTCCTGGCCCACTGAAGCTAGATGCTTCTCTTAACTCAGGCAGCTGCTGGCTGCTGAAGCTGACAACCCCAAGGTCAACAAATAAAATGGTACAATCCCAAGATTACCAAACAACAGGGCAGGCCACTAGTTCAAGTCCAGAGACAGTCTCAAGATTGGCAGGAAACATGGCAATCTGCTGAATGAAGACTTAGCTACATGCAAGATCCAAATGTGCCAAAAACCTCAAGACCTTTCTCAGTGATGCTTCTTATAGACTGGAAGCAGACCATCCTGAAGGCAGCTACTCAGCTACTCCAATAGATTCCACCATGGAGTCAATTACTAGTCTCATCATGGGCAATAACTACATCCAGATACTTAGCCACTCTAAACCAGGCCCAGCCAAGTTGACAGATAACCTTAACTACCACCCTTCCTGACAGTCAAACCAAAGCAGAAGGTAGCATTAACTGCAGGTCTCAGCTTTCCTTTCATTTATTCATTCATTTCCCACATAGTGCCTGTTTACATATCAGGGACTGAACAGGCACCAGGAATACTGACCTAAAAGAATCCCTGCCCATTGGGGCTTATATGTTTAGTGGGAGGGTAAATAATAAGTGAGATGTTTGGTATGTCAGAAGGTGGCAGGTGCTACAGAGAAAATTAAGCAGGAGGAGGGAATGGCAAGTGTGGTGGGGGAACACACCTTTTTGTTTTAAAGAGATAGTCAGAGAAAGGCTCACAGAAAAGTGACATGGTGCTCAGGAGTGACCAACCAAACCCATTGCCATCAAGTCAATTCTAACTCATAGCAACCCCCACTGGGTTTCCAAGGGGGTAAATCTTTATGGAAGTAGATTGCCTCATCTTCCTTTCGTGAAGTGGCTGGTGGGTTTGAGCCACCACCTCTCTGGTTAGCAGTCAAATGCTTTAGAAACTTTGCCACCAGAGCTCCTTGAGGGGTGACCAGGGAGCCACATTATTCTTCATGATCTCATGGCCAACAATGGTGACAAAGCTATTATAACTCCTGATTTTTAAATGTTGTCTGCAAGTTACTGAAAACACATTGGCCCCAACACAAAACGTATGTGAGCTACTAATTTTCAGGCCATCAGTGTGGGGTCTTCCCAACTGTGATGTCAGTCATATTGTTTATCTTCCATAATGATGTGCACATGTCGAGTTGACTGATGTTAAAGACTGCAGAGTTCTCACAGCAAAGCATTTGTTGTTGTTGTTAGTTGCCATTGAGTCCATTCTGATTCATGGCAAACCCATGTGCACCGAGTAGAACTACTCCATAGGGATTTCAAGGCTGTTTTTCAGGAAGCAGATCACAAGGCTTATCTTCTGAAATACCTCTGAATGGGTTCAAACTACTTAGTAGTCAAGCACTTAATAGTTTATGCTACCCAGGGAGCTCAAAGCACATACAGATTTTCTATAATCACAGTGTAACAAGGAATGTGTTTTTAACAGTCCTATTGCTCTTTGGAGAAGTAAATACATTTCAACCTAAGGTCTTCAGAATCCTGGGTACTTGAAAATTCTTTATGAGGGGTTATTTATTTGGGAGGAGGCATTTTTATTTCAATTATGGTCATTAGAATCCAGCATAAGGAAGTCTGGATCATCGGGAAGGATTTCCCGGCAGCAGAGCACTGCATACAACAGCAGGATATTTCTGCTGGGTTTGTGCCAATCTAAGAGACAAATCCTCAAGGCTTGTTGAGATTTGGCCACAGAGACAGTAGGAGAGACTAGTCATCTTGCTGCATGGGTTAGTGCAGTCAGACTCACCAGTGTACACTGGTATATGATGGCAATTGTTGGTTACCACTAAGTCAAGAGCAAGCAGTCAGTGAGGAATGTTCACCTTCCAGTTCCAAGCAGTGTATAGATTAGACCCTTATTGAATGCATATTTCAATAATGTCCTAATGTTAACATTACCTTCAAGTGAAACAGACAGAGTTATCAACTGGCATTTAAAATTGATATACAAAGACTCCTTGCTAGCAGAGTTTTGTTAAGTTTAGAGACTGATGATCCTGAGCTTGCAAACAATGCCTTGGAGTTGACAATACTGTATCCTTCTGTACATAGTGCTATGTGCTCAGGCATTCTCTGCACTGCTCTTATGGATGTCAGAATATGAAAACAAATCCAGATCTGAAACATTATTTTTAAAATTTAGTTGGGGCAAGGTAATATCATCCACAACATTACATTAATGCAAGATTAAGTGAATGTAACTAATGATACTGATTTGAATTTTATTTGGCTTTGTAGGAGTTTTGTACTTTATTTATAAATATGTTTTAGTTTAAGTAATTGAAGAGCTTTAGTAAAATTAAGGTGTTTATACTTGGTATGTTAGAGTGTATTTAAGCAATATAATAATAAATAATTCATTTCTATTTTGTTTAATTTATTCCTTAGGAAAGAATTTAGTATTTGAAGATGAAATCACTGCATTGCAACCTCAAGTTGATAAGCTAAAAACTTTAAATGTGAACAAAATTATTGCACTGGGACATTCTGGTTTTGAAATGGATAAACTCATCGCTCAAAAAGTGAAGGGCGTGGATGTAGTGGTGGGAGGACACTCCAACACGTTTCTCTATACAGGTAATTATTTCATTGGAATTATACGGCAAGGCCATCTGCATAGTTAACTTTGTCTCTTTTGCCTTACTAACTGTTATCTTTATTGCTATTTAATATATACTGAATGGCAACAGGTGCAAATTTTACTCAAAGAGACATTACAAAGAATAATTTATTGCTTTCATAATTATAAGTCAATTCCACTAATTTATGTATATTATAAATAAATGTGGAGTCCCTGGGTGGTGCAAATGGTAAAGTATTCAGCCACTAACTGACAGGTTGGCAGTTCAAATCCTCCCATAGGCACTTTGGAAGAAAAGTCTGGTAATCTACTTCTAAAAGATCACAGCCATTGAAAACCTATGGAGTGCAGTTCTACTCTGAAATACATGGGGTCATCATGAGTCTGAATCAAATTGATGGCAACTAGTGTGGTTTTGTTTGCTTGTTTATTTTTTTTCTATAAAGATATAGGTGCATAGATAAATATGTGTGTGTGTGTATATATATATATATATATGTATATATATATATATATATGAAATATAAGTTTATTCAGTCCCACCAAAAGTCAATCTGTAATAGACTAGTTTTAAATAAATAAATAAATAAGATTTTTAAGCATAGACAAGGTAATGTAACCCAAAAGATGAAGTATAGGAATAAATCTGACAAGAGACACCAAAAAACATATACACAGAAAATTATAAAACACTATTACAATGAACGAAAAGGTACCTATATAAATGGAAGAATATACCATACTCATGGATACAAAGACTTTAACATCGTGAAAATGTCAATGCTACTCAAAATGATCTACAGATATAATGTGAGTTTTGGTGACATAGTGCCTAAGGCATTTGACTTCTAACCAGAAGGCTGGCAGCTGAAACCCACCAGCCACTCCTCAGAAGGAAGATTGGGCAATCTACTTCCATAGTGATACTGCCTCAGAAACCCAAGAAAGGGTACTATGTGTCAGAACCAACTCAACAGAAGTGAGTGAAACTAGATTCTATCATCTTTCTTTGAAGAGATGGAAAAACTAATCACCAACTTTATGTGGAAAGGAGAGAGAACCAGGATAAATAAAGCACTACTAAAGAAGAACAGAGTAGGAGGTCTCACACTTCCCAATCTCAAAACCTACTACACAACCAAAGAAGTTAAAACAGCCTGGTATTGGTACAACGACAGACACATAGACCCATGGAACAGAACTGAAAACCTAGAAGTAAATCCACCCACCTATGGACAGCTGATCTTTGATAGTCAAAACTCATAAATGGCACTGGCAAAACTGGATATCCATTTGCAGAAAAATTAAACAGGACACATATCTCACACCATATGCAAAAATGAATTCAATTTGGATCAAGGACCTGAATGTAAAACCTAAAATGATAATGACCATTAAAGAAAAAAGGGGAAAAATTTGGAGGCCCTAATTCATGGAATAAATACACTATCAAGCATAACTAAAAATATACAAACACCATAAAACAAACTACATGACTGGGACCTCCTAAAAATTGGCCACTTATATGCATCAAAAGATTTCATCAAAAGGTTAAAAAGAGAACCCACAGACTGGGAAGAAAATTGGGGGCAATGACATATCAGACAAGGGACTAATCTCTAAAATTTTTAGGAAAGTTCAAGAACTTAACAACAGCAACAACAACAAAAAAAAAAAAATGTGAAAAGGACATGAACCGACACTTCACCAAAAAACACCAAAGCAGCTAACACATGAAGAAATGCTTATGATCGTTAGCCATTAGAGAGTTGCAAATCAAATAACAATGAGACATCATCTCACCCCAGTACAAACAGCAAAGTTAAAAAAAAAAAAAAAAATGCTAGCGAGGTTGTGTGTGGAAACTGGAACCATCACACACTGCTGGTGGGACTATAAATGGTACAACCACTGTGGAAAATGGTATGGTTCTTCCCTGAAAACCTGGAAATAGAAACACCACATGATCCAGCAATCGCACTACTAGGTACATATCCTCTTGAAATAAGAGCCATGACACAAACAGATAACATGCACACCTATGTTCATTGCAGCACAATTCACAATACCAAAAAGATGGAAACAACTTAAACACCCAACAACAGATAAATAGATTTAAAAAAACTATGGCAGGGGATTCAAAATGGCATCTCATCAGTAGTCCCCACGCTAATTCTCTCTAGCATCTTAGTGCCTGAAAAACTAGGTGCAGCAGCTTGAAATAGGGATTCTGGTGCTCTGAACAGCTCACTGAGTCAGAGTTTGCCAAACTCAGGGGAGCAGGCTTAGAAAGGAGAAAGGGGTAGGGAAAAAATAACAAAAACAGGGGAATCTACCCTGCGGAGCACCGACTGGCAGGTGAGAAGGGCCATCAGAGACCTCCCTGAGTTAGGGAAGAAGGTGCACCACACCAGCGTACCAGCAGTCACCCCACAAATCTACCTTCAGCACTTGATTTTATTGGTAAACCTGGGTATGCTGGGTGTGAGTGGGCACTTCTCTGGCTCAAGCAGTGCTGAAACCTGAGTAGAGAGACCATTAATGCCACAAGTGCATAGGCCCTGGGAGGAACTCCCACAGTGGACTATGGAACAGGGCAGTAGTCTTGGGACAGTTTTATGGCATGGAAGGGCCAATACTTGACTTTGTCAGTAAACTTGGGTCCGTGGGGTGCAAGCAGGCATTTCCCTGGCTCCAGCACCGCTGAAACCCAAGCGGAGAGATCATTGGCGCCACAAGTGGGAGAGTCCTGGGAGGAACTCCCGAGCCGTATCGCACAGCAGGGCAGTTGTCTTGGGTCAGCTTTTTGGCACGGAGGGGCCCTGAGAGCAGGATTTTTGCATGTGTCTGAACCTGGACGAAAGTGGCAACCCCCTAACAACTGGAGTCTTTGCTGAACTTGAGTTGTGGGCCTGTGAATAACAGTACAACATCATCATTAGCAGCCCATTCAAAGCCCTACAAACTGCCCTTAGCAACTTGGAGCTTCCCTTCTTTCTCTCTTCCCCTCCCACTTCCTCTGCCTATACCCTCATTCATCCAATAGAAAAATCACATTCAGCCACAATACTAGCTGGTGGCTCGAATTCCAAACCCTCTTTACAACAAACAGAGACCTACATCCACATTCCACACAGAAATTCCATCATCACAAAGAAAACTGCAGAGCAACCCAGCACACCTGAATTAATAACCAAACAAATCAAATACACAAGCTCCACCTTTTCAAAATATTAAATCATAAAACCAAGACAAAACAAATCAATACATAACCAACAGTTAAAGACAACCTCAAAATGTCTAGGAAGCAATAGGCAACCTCAAATCAAACAAAAAAACATGACAAGGCATTAGAAGCAAAACGACTAACAAAGGTCTCATTAAACATGGAGGAAGAGGAGGCAATAGAATTATCTGAGAAGGAATTTAGAAGATATGTTTATAGAGCTTTACAGGAGTCTAAACAGATGCAAGGATAACACAGACAGTTCCCTGGAGGAACTCAGGAAAATCATTCAAGAACAAAATACCAAGATTAATGCACAATCAGAGCTCATACAAAAATAACAGTTAGAAATTCAGAAGATGAATACCAAAATTACAGAATTACACAATGCAGTAGAAGCACAAAAGAATAGGATAGAACTGGCTGAACAATGCATATTCCAACTAGAAGACAAATCCCTGAACAAGCCTGTATGAAGAAGATCAGAATAAAGATTTAAGAGAAATGAAGTGAATCTAAGAATTATATGGGATGACATGAAAAGAAACAACATAAGACTCATTGCAATTCCAGAACAAAAAGAGGCACAAAAAAAAAAAAAAAAAAAGAAAATTGTGGAAGACCTACTAACAGAAAACTTCCTCCATATCATGAAGGAAAAAAAAGATACTTGTCCAAGAAGCTGATAGAACCCCACACAAGATAGATCCCAAGAGAAAAACATCAAGGCATATTATAATCAAACTCTCCAAAACCAAAGACAAAGAAAAAAATTTGTAGGCTTCCAAATACAAAAGAAATATTACTTATAATAATCAAACAGTTAGGCTGAGCTCCGATTATGCAGGCAAGAAGGCAATGGGACGGCATATATAAAACACTGAAGGAAAAGAACTTCCAACCAAGAATCCTATATGCAGCCAAAATATCCATCAAATGTGAGGGTGAAATCAAGTCATTCTCAGACAGACAGAAATTAAGGTATTTTGTGAAAACCAGACCAACCCTACAAGAAATGCTTAAGGAAGTCCTTCCAATAGAACAAAGATCAACAAAATCAGGATAAACGACATCAACACTAAAACCAAATCAGAAATAGAAACCCAAAATAAGACCTTAAAACATTGTAAACTAAAAACCAAGGAAGCCAATCTGCACATGACAACAGCAACTAAACTATTAGAGGGAATAAAACTTCTAGGTACCAACTTCCAAATGGAGAGGAAAACAGGACAATGTCCTCATAGAATGCACTGTTCTAAACATGTAAAGACAAGAATGTACTCCAAGGTAACCACAGAGAAAATTAACATCCCCCTTAGCAAATCCAGAAGGAAGGATATGGGTTTAATAAGCACAAAACCAACAATAAAGAAGAAAAGAGAGGAAGCATTTGACAACAAATAGAACTCAGCACAGAAAAGTATATAGACCAAGGAAACACCAACAACATGACAAAAAAAAAAAAAAAAAAACAGAATAGAATGACAGCAATCAATTCATACCTATCACTAATTACATTCAATGTGAATGGATGAAATACACCATTCAAGAGAAAGAGAGTGGCAGACTGGATAAGAAAAGACCCATTGATATGCTGCCTACAAGAGACCCAGCTTAGACGCAAAGATAAAAACAATTTAAGAGTTAAAGGATGGAAAAAAATATATCAAGGCAAAAGTAATCAAAAAAGAGCAGAAGTGGCGATATTAATTTCTGATAAAATAGACATTAAGGTGAAAAACATCATAAGAGACAAAGAAGGACATT